ATATATATATATATATATATATATATATATATATATATATAATGAATATATCATACAGTATTTCAAAGGTATATATATTTAATCAACATATTACATAATATTTTAAAGTTAACAATTATATAGATTAATCTACACTCGTGAGATATACAGGTAATCAAACATTATTTTAACTTAACATGTAATATTGTTGAATGAACTTTAATAAGTTTTTTTTAGATAAAACCATTTTTGTAATTTTTTTTAAATATGGTAATATATTTTCAAAATTTGAACTTAAAATATTTTGTATGATACTCTCTACCATTTATGCATTTGATATTCCAGGTGTTGCATAAATTAAAAGAGAGTGAAATTTTCAAAAAAAAATTCTTGAAAATTAAAGGGTTATCATATAATGTACAAACTAATAGAAAGTCCAATGTTTAATTAAAAAAAGAACTTACAGTAATATACAAATATTTGACATTACAAAGATCATACATATATTTTAAAACCAAAGTAACAAAAATATAAAAGAAACGTGAAGGTTGACATGAAGGTTATGACATCCTTCTACCCCAAAAACATTATAAAAACAAATTAAATAAACAACAACTATATTAAAAATATATTATAAAACATATATAACATCATTGTAAAAGGGTTCAAGTTTGTTAGATAAAAACTCTTTTACAAAAAAATAAATAAACATCAAAATGAGTCCAAAACCTATAACCTATGGCCAAAACTAGCCTTTTATACAAAACCTCCAAAAGAAAAACATAAACTATCATAAACTAAAATAAACTCTAGCTATATAAGAAAACATAAAAATAGCCATTGACCCTAATAATGGAATCAAAGGTGATGTATGGAAATTTAGATTGCTTCACTTCATTCCTTCTTCTTTCAATCTTGATCCATGACTCTAAAACTTGCATAGAAAAACTTCAAATGGTAGAAAGGAGAGTGGAAAGGTGGTATCGCCTTCAAGAAAATGATGAGTCAAGAAGTGATGATCTTGGCACAAGGAAGGGCTTCTTTATGAAAGATCATAAGGAGTCACACTCCTCTAAGGACAACTCAATACTATTGTATAGCGGACATTTTATATCGGTTATTTTTCATATTCTCTATTAGTCTATGACTCATTATAGATCTTAAAATAAAATGTACACACATTCTATGACATATCAACATTCAACATAGAAAGTTCACTTTTTATGACGGATGGTTAATATCTGTCATAGTATTATATCCAAATATGGTGTTTTAATCACATTACCACCCATTTTGTATGTTGGGTGAATGTGCACATTTTATATTAGGTGTTCTCACACTTGATATAGAATGTGTCACATTTTATAGTAGTGTGACCTTAACTATCATAGAAAATGCATATTTTATGACGAATATGGACACAACTATCATAAAATGTACATTTTCTCTTCATCAACGATAATAGGAGCAACATGTGAAAAACTTGCTTCAACTTCCATTTTTCTTTTATAGATTCAATAAAAAGATAGTTCTTGATATTGATTTGTAATTTTTATGGAAGAAAAAAAAATAGAAAAATTATAATATGTGGAAGAATTTGAATGAGTAGTAAATTGTACATTTATAAATCTCAAATGGAATAGAAAAACTAATGTGTTACCATGATTTAGCAATCTTGGATAAGTGACCACTTGCTTAAGTGTAGGAATAACTTGTTGGCCAAGTCAAAATTAAAAACAAAAACATTGAAAGATAAAAATAAAAATAAATAAATAAATAAGCCACATAAGGATGATCCAAAAGAAAATAATTTTATATATATATATATATGAATCAATTAGCCTAACCATAACTCACATCTATAGCATCAATATATCAAAATCTTTGGGTAAGGGAGTTGAAAGACAAAAGCATCATGGGATCCCAAACACATTCTCAGCTACCAATCGTAGACTTCACTAGCCAAAATATGAAACCGAGTACGGGTACATGGGTTTCAGCTTGTCAAGTAGTGCGTAGTGCACTTGAGGATCATGGTGGTTTCTTGGCACTCTATGACAAGGTTAGTTTGGAGACACACAACTCTACTTATTCTGCAATGGAGAATTTTTTCGACCTCTCAATAGAATCAAAGTGGAGAAAGACTACAGAAAAGCCTATATTTAGCTACTCCGGGCAGCGACAAGGGATTCCTTTATACGAATCTGTAGGTATTATGAACCCGCTAAGTTATGAGGATTGTCAGAAATACACAAATGTTGTGTGGCCCAAAGGAAATGACCTTTTCTGGTAACTATATCTCTTTGTTGAAAATTAATTTCATTTTGTTTATACTTTGACCAAAACAAATATAATGATGCCTTTTAGTTTTACTTTCTATAAGAAATTTATATATTGTGGTCTTTATATTTAACAAAAATATTCTTCTTTTTTTTTCCAGAAAGACTTAAACGTTGTAAATTGTAAAGACTAAAAAAACGTCTCATTGAGGATTAATCTAAAAAGGCATCATATTGTCATTAACACAAAAATATATGTAAGCCCTTTGGTTTCCATATATATAGATAATTTAAGTACATTTTTATTCTTGAAAATATAACATTTCTTTTGGAATTTTAATGGTTATTTTAAATTTATTTATTTTTATAGGTTTTTTATGCAAGACTAGAACTTATATTAATTATTTTTATTTGACCATAGATTTTATCATGTGTTTATTCCTGCTTTGTAGTGAAAGTGTCAATTCCTATGCAAAGCAACTAGTGGAATTGGACCATATTGTGAAGAGAATGGTGTTTGAGAGCTATGGGTTAGAGATGAAGAAATTTGAGTCTTTACTTGAATCAACAGATTATGTGCTCAGAGGCTACAAATATAGAACACCCCAAGTGGGTGAGACCAACGTGGGAGTGGCTCCTCATTCTGACACAGCTTTGCTAACTATATTGAATCAAAAGGTAGAAGGCTTGGGGGTCAAATTGAAGGATGAGGAATGGTTTGAGGTGGGTGTTTCACCATCGCTCTACTTGGTAATGGCTGGCGATGCAATGAGGGTGAGTCACTTTCTTTTCAATCTTGTTAATTACATTAAAAAAATTAAAAAAAAGAAAGAAAGTTGATTTCATAGAGTCTCAAATGTCAAAATCATGTAAAATCTAGCTAGCATATAATAACATGATTACGTAAAATAATAAAGGTTTAATTTATGATTTGAAGTTTTGTAATTTAGTCATCATCTTTGGCAAGATCCATTTACAATTCATAGTATTTGACAAGATATTTTTTTATATCTTCATACTTTGACAACTATAATAAATTACTATTTCATATTATCTATGTATATCAAGAGTCAATCCTTACTTGTTAAAAATTTTGTAATTTGCCTAATCAATTATTTCCAAACTCTTGATCTAGGGTATAAGCATAAGAATAAGAATATAAAAGATATTATATCAATCACGAATTATTCTATCAAATAAAAAATATTCAATTAGATAAGAATTATTCTATCAAATAAAAATGTAAACTCTATATCCCCATGAACGTATTCTCTGAAGTCATTTCCAAATTCCAAAAATTGTTGTCCAAGTATAAGAATAAGAATGTAAAAACATTCTATCAAATTTCACAAATTGTAAGGACTTTATGAGCTCCAATTCTAAATTTCAAAAATATAAAAGATAAAATAAATAAATTATTTTCTTCTAAATTTAAGAACCTAATTTAAATTTGTTTAAAACATCTAAAATAATAAATAATGTATTAAACATAAAAATGAATAGTATCTCATGTCGATCCTATCTTTCAAACATGCCAAAATAATAATTTATGATCATTCTCTCTTCATTATAAAAATCCATACATTATTGCATAGAGCAACTAAAAACCAAAGTTTGAAAATTTCAAAGATCATTAAATAAAAAATAAAGACAAAGCTAGTATATTTGCAAACATTAAAAAATATATAAGTAAGCCTTATTTACATCATGATAGCTCAATAATATGTTTATATGTCATATATAAACATATAAAGTATGAAGAAAAAAAAACCCTCTTCCCTAAAAAATATTTAATTAAAACTTGCTGGTCCAGGTTTGGAGTAATGACAGGATACGCGCTTGTGAGCACAGAGTTTTAATAAACTCAATGATAGAGAGATACTCGATTGGACTACTTTCATATGCTGCTAAGATAATGGAACCAGAAGCTGGGCTAGTTGATGAGGAACATCCTCTTCGTTATAAATCATTTGACCATTATGGATACCTACGTTTCTTTCTCACTGAAGAAGCCATCAAATCTGAATCCAGGATCAAGGCATATTGTGGTATTTGAGAATGGTGTCGTTGTGTGAATTCAGTGTCATGTTCCAAGGATGAAAAATGTTCAAAGTCCTATATATGTGTCTATTGCATTTGCATCAGTCTAATTTCGTGTATGAATGTTGATTGGGGAGTATCTGTTATTTTCTGTAGATGAAATGGACATAATAAATAATACGTGCAATCTGTAGTGTTGTCCTATTAATTGTATTTATTTGCCCCCTAATTTTGAAGAATTTTTGGTCCCCACGAATTAATTAAAATGATTCCTGGATTTGATTCTCGCCTCTTGTGGACTATGAAGGAGTCAGTGGAAGAGTGAGGCAATAAATTAAAAAAAAAAAAAAATCCACTGTATAAGTTGTCACATCCAAAATATAATAATTATATTATATATCGTATATCGAATAAGATAAGATTGTGGTTTGTTGGATAATTGAGCATGTGGCCCCCTATTTTTGTTTGAATTAAACAAGGAATGCTCACAATAGTAAAAAAAAAAAAAAAAACAAAACAGAAAATATTCATAAAGTGTATGTTTTCATGGACATACATCAGGCAAAGGATTAAGGGACAATCTTACTACTCAACAGTTACTCCCACAACCCTGAGCGAAGTTTCTCACTTCTCCTTTACCTTGATGAACAGAAGTTAAAGCATGAGCAAAATCTAATTGTTCTTCTTTTCTGAGTTTTCCTTAGTCTTTAGAGCGTAGAAAGAAATAAGTAAGAAAGAAGTCAAAAGAAATAAAGTGTAAGATAACTTCTTTTAATCCTAATAACTCATTTCTTAAAATAATAATAATAAACAAATAATTGTCACGTCCTTCCTTCCCCTCTCATAAAATAATTAATATACTTAAGGATATTTCCTCTTTTTTAATAAATAATGTAAGCCTATTTCTAAATAAAATACATTCCATAAAAATACTTTTATATCACTAATCAAAATAATAATTACAAATCATGTTTTATAACAAAATAGTGTTCATATAAATAATTAAATACTATCAAAAATCTCTTAATAAATACATTGAAATATTAAAATAATTTTAAAAATATTATTATTATAAAGTATGAAAATCGGAGTGTTACAGAATATAGTCGGATAGTCAAGTATATAAATCATAATAGACTACTAATATAGATATATTGGCACAACAAAATACAATTTGGCTAATAATACATAATAATATAACCAATATAAGTCATCACTTAAATTAACTTATATACATATATATATGATGTAATGGACACAAACTTCAAAGTGCATATGCATGTGGCGCCAATCAAATCAACTGTCAACTGTCAATTGTTTCCTGAAGGCTCAATTATTGCCTGGAAGCTCAACTATTGCCCAAAGACTCAATTGTTATGTGTATGATGCGTGTCACACAAGAATTAATGCCTTATCATATTACAATAGTTCATACTCACAATTGCACATTAATTTTTTTTTAATTCATAATCACATCATAGTTAAGCTTTACTTAGACTTTTCATCATATGACCCTCACAAGATCCATACACATCAACTGTATCAATATTAGAGCATATCAATTAATTCCTACATAGCTTAAAATCATGTCAACAACATACTCACATCATAACTTATTTACACTTGTTTTCTCCCATAATTTATGCTTCCTAAACATTGATATAAGTATTTCAAACTATTTGTAAAATCAAACACTTAAAGGGTAAAGTCATTCCTCATTACCATTCACAAACTACATTTGCATAACTTAATTTTCTAAGACCTTATTGTTAGGAAAGATGGCCTTACTAAGAGGGAGGGTGAATTGGTTGATTAAAAATTTCTTGCACAACTTTCATGATTTTGAAAAACTTTTCTAAATCTTTCCAAAGAAGTGCATTGATCTACAATTGTATATATATAGGATACTTAGTTCAAATTCAATGTCATTCTAACTTCACTCAAGTCTTTATGCAATGTTTATACCTCACGACACATATCAAAAAGCATAGAAATAGAAATGCAAGAATGTAAGGTCAAGTATAAGGAGAGAGAAAAATGTACAACCAATTTATACTAGTTCAGCCACCTCCACTTGTGACCTAGACTCAGTTCCCAATAAACTCGATTAAGATTTTCTACTAATGTTTAATGTCAAAAGTTTTACAATCACAACACCACATGCAATGCACTTGTATACTATTAAAGAAACCACTTCTTACACCCTAGGAAGCACCCACTTGTAGCACCCACACTACAAGATTCTCCCTTCTTAAGAAACCTACTTAAGAAAATAATCAATACAGAAGTTTAAGGAATGAATTCACCTGATGTATAGAAATATCAGAGTAGGTGAATCAATCAAGTAGCTTATCATTTTATTCCATGAACATAATGATCAATTCAATTCTTGAAAACTTTCTTGAAGTTACTAAGAAGGTTAAAGAACCTCTTCTTGTAAAGAAAAATGTATCTCAAAGAGTATTTTTGAAAAAGATATCACAAAGAATCAAGTCTCTCTGTTCAAAGTGTGAAAAATGATATATATAAGTTTTCTTACTGAAATAATCGATTATTTACATGGATAATCGATTATTTTACTCTTAGATTCTGGAAATCAACTACTAACAATTTAATCGATTATTTTGAGTAATAACGATTATTCTTTAAACTAGTTTCTGAAATAATTTATTATTTTGTTGAATAATCAATTATTACGACAATTGCTCTTCAGGTAACTAAAAAATAAAGTAAATAATTGATTATTACTTGAAATAATTGATTATTTTAAGTGAAAACTTAATATCTTGATTTTCATGCCATTTCCCTTTACAATTCAATTTTTACAAATATCTAAATCATCAATAGTCATCTAGATAGAGATGAAAAACTAAGTTACTTACCAAGCACAAAGTACATAAGTAACAAAGCTTAAAACACACAAAATAAGATATAACTTGCACTCTTATCTATCAAAAGGCTCAAAACTAACTATAAGTTGCACTCTTATCTATCAAGAGGCTTATTTGTAATCATCAAAACCAACTAAAATCATGTCTTCATCTTGAGCTTGATTAACACTTGTGTTGTCCATGAAGTTAGCAAAAAACACATAAAAGGGGGGGTTGAATATATGTGTGTGTGAGCAAAGGTATTTTAAAAATGTTTTCGCAACAGTAGTGTTCTTCGTCCACTGCACTTTTGAATATCAGACGATTAACCAGAGTTTGCTTAACTTACTATCAATGCGTCTGAAGAATTTATCGTCCACTAGGGAAAATGTTCTGTAAAGATATTAATTAAAGTTCTTACGTTTTCCTTTTCAAAATAGTTTCGTTTAAGTATAAGTAGCATATGAACTTTCAGTATAACAAATTTGTTAAGAAAAATTAGCGTTTTCGTCTAAGAGTTGCTTCAAAGATATATAAAAACTGGACGAAGTCTTTCACAATTTTAGAGAAGATTTGCATCTAAGTAAATAAAAAGAATGCAATCATTTTATACTGGTTCGCTCGATTGAGCTACGTCCAGTCTCCTTCAACTTGAAGGGTTCCACTAAATATGCAATGAAGTACATAAGTATTGTTGACCACTTCTAGCCCGTTGACTTCACTCATCAACGCTAGTATTTTCTTCTCAGCCTCTTCAGGCTAGTAGTGAGTACTATGAACCACTCAGGTTAGAACCACTCCTGGTCCAAGTATTCTTGACCACTCCTAGCCCGCCAGCTTCACTCACCAACACTAGTATTCTTACACCACTTTTGGTCCAAGTATTCTCAACCACTCCTGGCCCATCAGCTTTACTCACCAACGCTAGTATTCTTAAACCACTTCTAGTTTCCCAAGTATTCTCGACCACTCCTGGCTCGTTGGCTTCACTCACCAACGCTAATATTTTCTTATCAGCCACTTTTGGCTAGTAGTGAGTATTCTTTGACAAGCCCCTCCGGGCTTTACAAGTATTCTTTTCCTAGCCTCTTCAGGCTTTACTATGTTGGCTAAGTAGGTTTGGTTTGAGTGTTTACATAACTCTCATAGAGAGGATTGGGAATTTCTACACTCACTAAGGTTTACTACCTTAGTTTTATAGAGACTTAAGCTTGAGTGTTTAGGTTACTCTCATGGAGAGGATACAAGGGTTTACAACACTCACTAAGGTTTAGTTTATCAATGACGCCTCAACTACCTTAGTCTTTAGAGATAAAGATACAATATTACATTGTACACATGACTTTAAATGCTCATCTCTGGTAGTGATATATATATAGGCTCTTGTAAAATATGCCCGTTGCATCTATCCGTTGAAGCAGATATGGTCGTTTATGACTAGTTTAATCTTCTCATTTAATGCTCTGATCCTTGCATTAAATGTTGCTTCCTGTTTATGGAAAATGCGTGAAGTTTTCCTACTCAGTTGGTAGCTATATCTGTGTGTAGCAGAGTCCTAGGCTCTTCTTCTTTCTTCTTCTCTTGTCATAATTCGTCTGTCTTTATGTGTTCCTCTATGAGTGTAAATGATATTCAAACTGTCTTTTGGACCATGATTTCTCAGGTGATTGTGTGTCATCCTTCGTCTGCATCTGGTAGTCGACATATAGTTCAATACTTTGACCTTTGTCTGATCATCAGTATTTTCCTCTCGTCTTGGTCAACTCTGTATACAGTCATGCTTTCCATTTCTTCTTGGTCGTTGATCATCTTCCGTCTGAGTCTTTAAGTCCCTGTTTGTTTCTGCTGATTTACTGTTCACGATGAACGAAAGGCGAAGATGGAACGTGTTTGTTTCGAGTGAAATATGAAGAAAGAAAAGCGGGGAAAAGCGGGAGAGCTATACGGAGGGTTCTTCGATAAACCATGGAGAAAAGCGAAAAAAGTCACGTTGGCAAGGATAGAAAGACGTGGTTGCCCTTCTGTCCATCACGTGCATAATCGATTATGCATGACACATAATCGATTATGGGCCAGCATAATCGATTATGCATGGCACATAATCGATTATATGTCATACATAATCGATTATGTGGCATATTTTTGCTTCCAATCGTGGCCCAGAACGGGCGTTCCAAAATTGGAATGGGCCGTTTCAAACTACTAAAACAAGGGTAATTTAGTAGCTTAGAACGGGTCGTTCCCAAATTGGAACGGGCCGTTCCAAACTACTAAATTGGCTTAAAAACTTTAGTTGAGAACGGGTCGTTCCAAATTGGCTGTTATGGATAAAAATGCAAATTAGAAAATATAATTATCATAATATATTTTGTTATTAATATTTATTATTATAAATATTTATTATAAATATTATTATTATTATCATTATTATTAATATTTAAATAAAAATTATCTTATATTATATATATATATAATATTTAAATCATAGAAAAAATATTTTTTTTCAATATTTTAAATATAGTCAAAATATCAATTAAATTATTAAAATAATAATATTATTTATTTGTATTATAAAACTGCTAATAATAAAATTAAAAAAGAATCTTAAATTAATTATATCATTAAATTTAAAGCAAATATTTAAATTAAATTATTTTTAAATTAAGATTTTATATTTATTTTTTAGTTAAAATTTTTATATTTATCTTTTAATTATAATAATTATAAAAAAAAATTTAACCTAAGGGAAAAATAGTAATCTTACAAAATTATCAATTAAAAAATTTATTTTTATCTATCACATAAATCAATTCACTCACAAACTTTCTCTACATTTTCCACTCACTTTCCCTTAATCCAAACAACCTCACTTTCCACTCACTTTCCCTTCAAATCCCTCATTTTCCACTCCTCCTTTTTCATCCTCAAATCCAAACAGAGCCTAAGTGCTACCTTAGACTGTATTTTATATGGTCTTGTTTATGTTGGCCTTTTGTCTTGTGCCATCGGATGCTTATGCCACTTTGTCATTTTACCTGTTCTTACGTCTTTCTGAAACACTGACTCATTTGTTAGAGATAACAACATATTATATTTGTCTCACTCAAAACCTCTTTGAGAATGTCTTCGTCTGACTTAACAGTCCAAACACCATATCTAGAGTTATACATATGTTATGAAGTTGATACTAATTTTCTTATAAACATAAGACAATTGTCTAGAACTTCTATATTGACCTCAAGTGTTAATTATTTCATCTACTATTTAAAAGAAAATAAAATCGCAATGTTTTAGCCTAAATCTGATAACTAATCTTCGCTCACTAATTTGATCATAACTTGAATTCTAGACATCCTTTTTAGGTGATTTAAATGCCCTTTGAAAGCTGAAATCCATGGCAACAATTATTTATGAAGATCACAAAACCTAATTCTAACAATATCATATCTAGCACATTGATTATTGTTCTTAGCACGGAGAAGATTACAACTTCTTTGTCACACCTACATTCGACATGATTGAGGCCACACCCAATGCCAAAACTCATAGGGACAACATCAAATGATGTCTAACACAACCCATTTGAAACCTGGCACGATATCATTTGTAGAAGACCTCCAAATTGTGTGAAAGTCGCACAATACAAACCCAAAATCGGAAAACTCCAAACTAATAGAAAAAATCATTATTAAAGCTTAATACTATATTCCATTATACCATCAATTACTTAAATCTAACCTCAAGTTCCCATATGATCCAATTAACATCAATCATATACATACAATTGACATCAATCAGAACATATAAGAAGAAAAGAAGAGTAAAGGCACATTTAGAAAAATCCCTCACACACAAGACATATAATAGGAAAAATAGAGAAGGGATTGGAGGCCAATTCCACTATCCAACATACATTCTCACACTTAGAGTGGGATATTTTACTAACCCCTTGCCTCCATAAGTGCTAGAAGATGGATGTGGATTTTTTTGGGGTGTTCTCTTATGAGCCTTGATTCTCTCAAGCTTTCAAAGCGTAAATGTGCAATAAAAATAAAAAACATAAAATACAACTTTCAGAAACTTCCCTATTTAAAACCTAGCTCCCTCTTAACCCAACAGTTGAACATTTTAACCATAATTACAAAATTATTCCCTCACTTAATAAAATATATAAATTAATTCATTATAAAACTTAATAATATATGCATATACATATAAAATAATTATTAAAATTCCTAATTAATTGTTAAAAAAATATAATAATAGTAATTAATAATAATAAATCACTACAACAAAATAAATTTTTAATGACATTTAATATGCCTTTTAGTGGCAATAAAAATTGCTACAAAATCTTTTACCAGCATTTTTACATTAGTCATTGTGTGCAGTGTTGCTAAAACATTTACTAGCAACTATTTTATATGTCGATAAAGACCCTTATAATAGTCGAGAAAAATGTATAAGTTTTTATGGCATTTTTTACTAACATTTAATATTTTTTGCTATTGCCAATAAAAATTTAATAAATGTTTCATATGACTCTTTAATTACTTTATTTTTAGTCGATGTGGGACTTATAAGATGTACTTTTTAATTATCTTATTTCTAGTCGATGTGGGACTTGTAAGATAAGGATTGTCCTCTACTTATATATTCTTTAATTTTCTTATTTTTTAAATATCTTATCTCCTAATTAGTTATTAATTATTTTATTAATAGCCGATGTAAGATTTGAGTTTTTTCCAATACACCCCCTCAAGTTTAGCACTATTGAGTTTGATAATGGTGAGTAATTTGATACAAACTTATAATAGTAAGTTATACGTCTAACTCAACCATACAAAACAAACTTGTAAGGTAAGAATTATCATTCACTCATATACTTTTTAATATATATATATATATATATATATATTTAAAGTTTCATAAAACACATATTTTTTTATAAATATTATATAAAATAATTTTTACAAGTATTTATCATTGAATTAAAAAGTTCATAATTATTAAAAATTTCTACAAATATGTTATAAAATCTATTTAATTAATTAAATAATCCTAATACATATAAAAATAAATATAGTTAAACAATTATATTATTAAAAAAATTAAAGTGTTAATAAATGATTAAAAGTGTAATTTAATCTATATACTATAAAAATTCAATAATAAAAAAACTAAGAAAATAAGTTATTTAATTATATAATAAATATAAAAAAAAACTAAAAGGCATAAAAAAACAAATAAATAGATTAAATAAATAAGAAGAATACTTAAAATAATTTAATACGAATCAAGCAAAAGATTTTATAGAGGGCATTTAGAATATGAAAAACTATCATAAAAAATTATTAAAAATATAAAATTTAGGCAGGTAACGTGCTTATGAGGTTAAGGTGTACGGTACCTTCAATTTACCATTACCTTTTGAGCTCCTCAACTAATGAAAAGGAAAATTGGAATTTGGAACCCATAAGAAGTACTTTACGTCGTGCTTATCAAAACCTTGGCACGTGTCAGTGGCAAGCAGACTCACCTTCCACCATTCAATCTTTCGTGGCACACAATAACCATGCAAATCACAGCCTTCTTCCACGTGCCACAATACATCCACCACACTGAACTACCAATCTCCATCAATTAAACCCTTAAAACCCTTCTTCCATTTAAATTTGCCCCAGAAAAAAGACCCAGCATTATCCACTATTCTCCAACGTTAACGGAAACAAATTAACAAACAAAAACAAAGAATGTCACAACCACCACCACCATCACCATCGTGGGAAACTCTCATCCTCGTAGCCACTTACCTCGACCCCAAAACCCTAGCCATAGCTTCATGCGTCTCAAAGTCATGGTTCTCTTCCATGTCCTCGGACAACATTTGGAGACCCATCTTGGCCACCCACTTCCCCTCTCTCGCCACCCTTCCCTCCGCCGCCGCCGACGTCGCCCACCGCCGACTCTTTGCGATGGGCCACGCTGCGGCCACGCACCGCCTTCGTAGGCCCTTGAAACCGGGCCTCTCGCTCAGCGACCTCGTCTTCGCCGTCTCTATCTCGACCCGCGAAGGCGAGGTTGCCTCTAGCGTGAGGCCCGGGAACATGCTGACGGCGGATGTATCTTCCCTGGGCGTGTTCCGTTATAGCATGCGCTGCGACGGCGCCGTTTTGAGGGAGGGCGTGGAGGAGGAGGTGAGGGTGACGTGGAACGTGGTGCTGAGAGGGTGGAGAGGGGTTTTTACGATGATGGAGCGCGAGGGGAAGGTGGGGTTTGTGGCCGGCGGCGAGGGGTGGTTCTCGCAGGAGCTGCCGGCGCCGGGGTGTTGCTCCGGCGCGGTGAAGAGCTCGGTGGCGGTGGATTTGAAGGTGGTGGTGGGTGAAGAGAAGAGTGGGGATGGGGTAAGGGTGGAGGAAGTGAGTGTGGGGATTATGAGTGTTGTGGATTGGAGGTACGTTGGGGTTGAAGATGGGCTTAGGTATTTGCAGCACTTTCTTCTACCTAACAATGCAACTTACGTTTGTAAAAATATACAGTAAAGTTTATGAAGCAAAGGATTTTTTTCTTCTTTTTTTACACATATTTCAACTTTAACTCCATGTACATGTACAAGACAAGACAAGATTTTAATATTTCAATCCAGCAAACAATTATATGAATCATGAGTCATGTAAAATGTAAAAAATTATAACACTAAATCATGATTTATATAATGTTTGCTTTTAAAAAGACAAATTAAAAATTCTAAGGAATTTAATTTCTTAAACAAAAAGTGTAAGGTCAAATTCCTGTATTAAAATTTGATGGCCAGAAAGAATGGACAGTATCGGGGCTAAACAGAAAGAATGGACAGTAACGGGGCTAAACGACCACTGTAGCGCATTTTTTAAAACTTATTACCAAAATAGGCTCTTTTGAAATAATTTACACTTTTGGGGCTCTTTTATTGGGTGTTGCTATGGGCTATAACGACACCTATGACACATGGGTTTTTTTTTAAGGCTTGATTGGGCTGGACCAGTGTCACTATAGGCTTTTTAAGGCTTGATTGGGCTGGACCAGTGTCACTATAGGCTTGCCCAACACGCCAAAGTGCCGCTGTGAGCCACAGCGTCACATAAATTTTTTTTTTCGTTTTTAAATTATTTATTATCACAGCGTTACATAATTTTTTTTTTCATTTTTAAATTATTTATTACATTATTTTTTAGTAGGCGCTGTGGCCTAGTACGCCTGAGTGGCGCTTTGGCCCATTTTTTTTTTTTTGTTTTTCAATTATTTTTTAAATTTTTTTCTTAACAGGCGCTATGGCCCAGTACGCCTGAGTGGCGCTGTGGTTCACAGCCCCACAAGAATCAAATCGTGAATCGTAATATCCATGATCAATAATAAAACATAGCATATACATATAAAAGACACACAAAAGCACTCTAGCAGCATTTTATCATAAATAAACATATGAAAAATGACCACACTTATATGTAGAACCAGAAGATTACCACTTAAACAGTTATGCAAAGCCACTTGTTGAGGATTCAAATTTATTTATAAAAAAAAAATATTTTCGTAGCGCAAGTCAATCCAACACAAAACATTGTCCCACGAAGCATGTCTAAGTCTAAGTGTGTCTGTGTTCCTTCATTTCTTATCTTAAAGGATTAAGTAAGGAGAAGCATACGCCATAATGAGAAACTAAAAAACAAATATAAACAAAAAAAAAGTGACAATCATGCTAACTTCCTAATTCAAAAAATTCACAGAGTAACGAAGAACAAAACAAAATAACAACGCCAATCTCCCTTTTCTCTCCAGCAACTCAAAAACCTAGAGTCATTGACCCAGATAAAAAACAAAAACAAAAACAAAAACCCTTCAATGAATTACAGAAAAAAATCACAAGCAGATAAGAAAATATAAAAACTTGAAATAATCGCATTGGAATAATAGCCCACGATTGAGATTGAGATTGAGAGAGAGAAAATGAGAGAGAGAAAAAACCTCTTATCGGAGGAGCCTCCCTTCTGGCTGAGGAAGGATCGGAAAAGAGGAGAGTTAACGTCGTAAATCATTGTGGAGAAGATTCGATGCCAAAGATGAAACCCTAGTTTTTTTTTCTTTCACTGCGCTACACAGTTTCGGAAACCTTCAAGAATTTATGCTTCTTCCAGACTCCCCCAAATCCGTTTTCGTTGTTGGATTGGGTCATTTTTCACACTTTTTTTTTGTTAGGCCTTAGTTGATATACGGGCTTATGTTTTTTTTTTTGAATAATTGAAAATTTTGAGCATAGTATTTGATATATTCGTGGATCACATTTATAAGAGATGTTTGTTTTAAGTTATCTAATTTTATTTTTGGAAATAATATTTTTGAGAATAACATGTCCGTGTGTGTTAAAAAAAAGTTGTTTGGTTAACAATAAGATTTTTTTTATATTCTCAAAAATAATGTTCATAATATATATTTCGAGGAAGGTATGTTATAATTATTAAAATAACTTTATTATATAAAACGTTTTTTTTATTACAGTCCATAAAAATAAAAATAAAAATTATAACTACATTATGAATAATTTTTCATGAATCTATACCTATTATAAAGGGGATACAAGAATATGTAACCACTTTTGGTTTCCACTTTTAGTGGACCATTATACCCCTCAAATATATAAAAAAAAAACTTATATTTTCTTTAAATAATTACAAACAACTTTTTAAGATTGTGTACGTTCCTTCACTTATCACATCCATCACAGGTAGCATACAACCACAATGAATGCATTTCAAGCATAGTATTTTAATCAGGATACAAATTGTGTATCAGATAGCTTATTTTCCAAATCAAGAATCAAATCGTGAATCGTAATATCCATGATCAATAATAAAACATAGCATATACATATAAAAGACACACAAAAGCACTCTAGCAGCATTTTATCATAAATAAACATATGAAAAATGACCACACTTATATGTAGAACCAGAAGATTACCACTTAAACAGTTATGCAAAGCCACTTGTTGAGGATTCAAATTTATTTTTTAAAAAAAAAAATTTCGTAGCGCAAGTCAATCCAACACAAAACATTGTCCCAACACAGGCGCTGTGGCCCATAGCGCCTGAGTGGAGCTATGGTCTATAGCACCCCAAATAAATTTTTTTTTTTCGTTTTTAGCCGATTTAAGTCGCTATAGGCTATAGCGACTCTTTGAAGGTCTCCACCAGCTGCAGCGACTCTACCAATATGGCGTTCATAACTCATATTCAGACCCAAAAATGCCACGTGTCATGGGTGTCGCTATGGGCCATAGCGACACCTAATAAAAGATCCCAAAGGTGTAAAATGTTTCAAAACAGCCCCATTTTAATAAATACTTTCTAAAACTGCACTACAATGGTCGTTTAGCCCAGTAACGGGTATATTTTAGCACGTGCAGCTAGTTTCTCTAGGATTGATAGGGTGAAAATTCTCATCTTTATTTTAATTGGTTGAAAGTTCAAATTATATATACATAAAATTGGATACTCTTCATTTTCACTTATTGAAAAAAGTTATATATTTTTTTCCTGACCGTTGATATGTTCATATAATTAAGTATGCTTGATTGAGGGAAAATCTTTCAGTTTGCGTTCTATCTTTGTTAAGTGAAAAATATTGAAAACATACAAGGCCTAATTTTGTTACTATTCTACATGTTTTTTAATAAATATATGTTGATTAAAGGAACTGCTCAAATATACCATCAATAACTGCACATTGAAAAAGCATTTCTCAAGAAGTGACTGGAGTATTATATATTCATTGTTACATCCGAATGGACAGTTTTAAATTTAGTTTTGATGTGAAAAAAAAAAAAAAAACTATTCGATCATAAATATTATAAGAAAGTAAGATCTTGCATGTCGATGACTTATTTCTTTCTTATGGTTAAAATGTTGGTAGATGTACAGCTTTTGACGTATTTCCTTATACTTTTTTAGGGTTTTTTTAATGGATGTTATTATTACACATCACATCATGTGTATATATGTTTATAATTTAAGTAATTTATTTTTTAATAATTTTAAAAACTTTATTAAATAAGCTTACAAATAATATCATGTTTTTATATTTAATTTTTTAAAACGCTAAAGAACATACTAAAACAATAAGAAATCAGATAAAATTGTTTTATAATTTTACTTATTTTAATAATTTTAAAATATTTACCCATAATATTATCAAATTCTAATATTTTATTTATTTTTTTTATAAAACACACAAAAGGACACAAAAATGAAGCATCAGTATTTACAAAAGTATTTGGTGCTTCTCATAACTCAACCCTAGTCAAACATTCTTATCAGAGACCTGTGATTAATAAAAAAAAAAAAATTAAGATAAAGAATCATGGTTGCAGATGGCCATATATGATGATAAATGTATTATGACAGTTAGTAATAGCTTAAAAAATTACTAGCAATAAAGCTGTTAAGTTGTTCTATTTTTCTTTCTTGAAAAAAAAGAGTGTTCTATATTGATTTTTTTCTTATACACAATTGTTATTAAAGTTGAGAAAATAGGTGATGTAGTAATGATAAATGATAATTTTTTGACGTTATAATAAATAAAAAAGAATTCATTTTAATAATAATATACATGACCATAATTAAGATGGTCACAAGTGGTTAATAGAATGGATTTAATGTCAAATTGTTTAAACGGTATTCAAATTTAATCTTTGACGGAAATAATTTTTTGAATAAATTTTACTTACTTTTCAATCAAATAAGGTTAATCTAAAACGTATCTCTCAGTCGAACAAGATTTTTTTTTTATTAATAATGGGGTTTAAAAGCCAAAAATACAAAAATTAATATTCACGAGGGAAAATAGCAAGTAAAAGAAAATGTGTCTAACTTGGGAGAGAACTAAAACTATGAATACCTTCATAGAGGGAGAATCCTAGCTTGTCAAACTCATTAACAACTTGATTATCCTAATTAACTAGATATAGTCTCGATGGTTGAGGTAAACTGTTATAAATCTCTGAGTTCGTTCTTTTTTTTTTTTTTTCTTTCTCATATTTGTTACATTACTATTTCATTGTTATATCATTGCTATATGAAAAGTGAGAGTTTTTGTGTAACACTATTCAACTCCTTTCTAGTGTTTTTTTTTTCATAGTAAATGATAGTAAAACTTGATCGAATTGATCAATAATTGAATAGTCTCAGTGGTTGAGATAAACAAGTATAAAAACATTATGTATTCTTCTTACTTTAATCTTCATCTACTCTCTTACGGTCTTGCTATTGTTTTACTATTTCAAAAAAAATTTGAGGTTTTGATTGACATCATTTAGTCCCCTTCTAGTGTCTCTCTTTTCTTCATACATAATTTTTTTGTCATTTTTGAAGATTAATGAGAAAAAAGTTTGAGTTTTATCTCAACTTTCAAGAGTTTTAAGTTCCCTTTATAAAGTGCAACTTGATATGTAACTCTTATCAAAGATAATTTTTTTTTTTGTGGTGAGTCTCATTCTAGGCTTACCTCCTCCTTAGAGAAGTGGTGCCTTCATTCTAATTCTTCTCCACATTTTGAGTTTTTTCTTCAACAAAACACCTCGTGAATGAAAGATTTCAGGTGACAAATAAAAAAATATTTGAAGAGTCATCCATCACTTTTTGAAACTTATTCCATCACTATTTGACTAAAACCATATTGAATTTCCTACATCTGTTCTAATTTGTGATAGACCAAAAACAATAGATATGAAAAAATGTTTGTAAAATGTAATAAAATCTTTCTTATATATACATGGGTGTGATTCTTGTGTCTTAGTAAGTGATATGAGTCACATCCTTATTTATCAATAAATAGTTACTTAGTAAAATTCACATAAATTTGAATTGATATAGTTCTTATTAAATTATTTATCTTATAATATAATATATATTTCTGAAAGAAATTATATAAATTATTATGATTAAATATACTTTTATGAACATTTCTATGTATTAAAAACTAGAATGCAAGTCAAAATCCTTTAAATGTATTTTATTAATAAATGAAAATATTCAAACCCTTGTATATTAAACCTAATCGACTATTTTATTTGATGAGATTTTTAAAGACTTTTATTTTATAAAGATAATTTTGATTATTTTTTAATATTTTTTTTTTTACTTTTTATTCTACTAATTTAATTTTAATATTATATTTTTAAAATATTATAATTTTACTCAAAAACACTTATAATTTATTTTTAATATTTTACTTTTATCTTTCGAGACAAAATTAGTACTTGTAATATATAAAAATAATATTACAATCAATCAAATTAATCAACTCAAAATTAAGATATTAAAAAAACTTATTATAAATAGATAAGTAAAATATAATATTTTAAAAAAAGTATGATATTAGAAATTAACAAATTGAAAAGTAAGAATAAGATTAAGTATTGATAGAAAATGAATAATGAGATAAAAATATCTGTTTATAATATATTAAAATTAAAAGTATTAAAATAAAATTACATATAAATACCTTATTTATATAGAATAATAAATATTTTACTTAAATTATACATGTAAAAATAATTCAAATATCTTGATTTTAAATATTTTTATCTTGATTAGTATTTCATATTTTATTATTCATTTTAATGTTAAATTAACTAAAATTAGGATAAGAATTAAAAAAAGTATACTATAAAATTGCAAATACAGGATACAAATATTTTTTTATATATAAAAACTAAAATAAAATAGAATGATATTTACATGACTTAAAATCAAACTCATAT